ATTAACTTGTAGTGTAACATGACTGTAGTTTAGCTACTTGAAATTATGAGCACCTTGAAGCTTCCCCCACACTGGTTTTTATACGTTTTTATATGATTAAGTGCATGTGTAAGTGGGTGTACGCAAGTGCTTGCCTAAAGCTCCTTCCCTGTCAATTTATTTTCAATTGCAACCTTTTCTACCCCACTTTCTAATCTTAGAGGAAAGAAATCAGACACACAATCAAGCACTGCAGCCCATGAGGGCCCTCAAATCATCACGAAGAACAAAAAAATATGAAAACGTAAAAATGAAAGGCTAAAAATGCCATTTACCCTCATCAACCATCTGTAACGTGCACATTTATGCAATGCTGCCCTGACAACCTATAATTCAGAACTCCATTCCAAAAAGTGCACAGTATGCAAAGGGACTTCGGACACCCAAGTGGACGCCTGCACAAAATCGTTTGTCATGATTAAATGACAGCTCTTTTGATTGGCTCTGATTTGTTGACAGCTCCGGCCAATCAGAGGAGAGAAATAATAGGACAAATATCAGACTAACATGAGAAATAGAGGGAGAGAAACAGTGAAAGAACACTAAAATTAGGCCAAGAGCTGTCATCTGTCCATCAAAGACAATGCAAACATATCTGAAAATCAACAGCCTCTTTGAGTTCATTTGGTCCATAAAGATTTCAAAAAGTTTTATAAATCAAACACATCGCTAAGCTATAAACTCAAAGTCTAGGCCATTCAGAAAGATACTTAGCTTTTCCTTCAAAGAACAAACTAGTAAATCTCACAGTCTAAAAATACCCAGATAGAGCTGTCTTAATCTTACATTTAAAGGAACAGTTCACCCAAAATGAAAAGTTGCTTAAAATCTACTTACCCTCGGGCCATTCAAGATGTAAATGAGTTTGTTTTTTCATCAGAGCAGATTTGGAGAAATTTAACATTACATCACTTGCTCACCAATGCATCCTCTGCAGTGAATGGGTGCCGTCGGAATGAGAGTCCAAACAACTGATAAAACACTGCAATAATCCACAAGGAATCCACAGCACTCCAGTCCATCAACGGACATCGTGTGAAGCGAAAATCTGCGTGTTTGTAAGACAAATTTATTATAAAACTCTTGTTTCCAGTTAAGTCCTCTATCCATACTATTGCATTCTCAAGACATCACATCTGAATCAGGAGAGAAACAAGTACAGATCAAGCATAGTTTACAAGCCAAAACTGTCCAAAACAGTTCTAAACTAATATTTTGGATTTTGATGTGAGAGGACAACAGGGGATGGACTTTTCACTGGAGATGTCTTTCTTCACAAGATGTTAATTAATGGACTGAGGATTCCTTGTGGATTATTGTGATGTTTTTATCAACAGTTTGGACTTTCATTTTGACGGCACCCATTCACTGCAGAGGACCCACTGGTGAGCAAGTGATGCAATGATGAATTTCTCCAAATCTGTTCCGATGAAGAAACAAACTCCTCTACATCTTGGATGGCCTGAGGGTAAGTACTGTAAGTTTTTAGCAAATTTTAATTTGTCTGTGAACTATTCCTTTAAAGGGATATTTCCCTCAAAAAAGAACCTCTCTCAAATTCACCTGTGCACATTAACACAGATGTTTTTGGCAACAAGTTTGACTACCTGAAATAACTCCAACTGAAAGTACTGGCACACATTCCCTCACTTAGCGTTTTGAAGTGTGGCATCGGAGGGATGATTGGTCTCCTCTCCGAGTGCAATAAGAGCGTGTGCACCTGGCCACAACATCTCATTCACAGATGTGTTTTCCCTAGAGGAGCTTGTCTCTGAAGCCCTCAGAGAGCAGTGGTAATGAGAAGAATGGATTGTATTGATGCTAGTGAATATAAAAGTCCACGGAGGAATAAAACGAAACAGTGGCGACTGACACGCTTCATTACACATCCTGTAAGAACACATTATTGTGCCCTCATCCCCACCTGAGTCGCCTTTCTCTCTCTATCTCCCACCTCTTCTTGCTCTGCCGGTAGAGAAAACAAAACATAAGTGAGACCTCCTTATTACAATTGATTCTCCTGGGCAGCAATGAGACTAATTTGAGAGCAAAAGGAGATGTGTGCCTAAATCTTATCCTTCTCAAAGTTTTCCTTTGATAAAAATATCCTAATCTCACACTCTTTACACTCTGGCCAAAGTGCCATGGTCAGTATTAACTGAAATGTTGCTCATCAAATTCTTTCAAGATCAAATTCTCTCAGCTATGATATACACGGTTATTTAGCTCTATACTCATTCTATTCATCAACAGTTGTCTAATTTGTGTCTATTTTCATTTCTTCTAAAAAAAATTGAATAAGGAGATGATCTTGTTACTGCAATGAAACTTAAATTAGAAGCCAATTAAGTCCCCCATGGATGAGACAAGACTGAGCAATAACGTTTTCCTACATTAGCTGTTATCTTCTAAGGCTGTACTAAAATTCTGTTCTAATAATTATTGTAAAACCTTCAAAAAAAAGATTTTATTTTATTTTAAATTACATATTATATAATATAATATAATATTATATAATATTATTATATTATATTATATTATTCTCAATTCTATCATCATGGAATTTGGGGTGATCTAAACTTGCAGCATGATATGAAAGAGCAAACTCTGAGCAATACAATTTTTCTGTGGGTACACTCTTCAATTGCTCCTTTTTCATCAGGTCTTTTGCCTCCTGGGTGTAATTCACTGAACACTGTATTAAGTGCCGCCTACAATCAGAGAGGAGAGACTGATATCGGCGTGTCTCCACGGGGTTTAATGACGGAAGGATCATGCCGCAGCCCAATTTCCTCCCCTGATTAGACAATCAGATCCTGATGACATCAACATGCGCAGATGGTGCTTCTTCAGCCGTTTATTTATTAATGAGTGCTTGTGTATTTTTATCAGATGGGGCCTGATGCCAGTGCCCCCAATAGAGAAAAATTACTAGACTTTGATGTTTTCGGCTGGATTTTGTTTGATGCTGCTGACGACCCCGTTTCCTTAAAACAGTACGTCTCAAGTGGCTTTGCTTCAGGACCCAGATTTTACTTTGGACAGCAAGTGGCGACTCAACACTGTGTCCTAATCAGGCATGATGCAATAAATCATCATAAAGCGTGTAAATTTGTGGTTTTGTCCTAATCAGCCATAACTACAAAAAGCTATGAGCAATAATAGGATCCACCCAAAAATAAATTAATTCATTTATTAATAT